TGAATAAGCAGGATGCCCCCAAGACACTGATCCCTGATAGTTAAGTCAGGAAAAGAGCCTGGGCCCTGGGCCCTCCCTGGTGGCACAGTGGGTTAAAGTGCAGCACTATGAAGCTCTCTGCAGCCACTGCAGCACAAGTTCGTTCCCCAGCCAGGGAGGTGACCCACATGGTGCAGCAGACCTCTCCTGTCTCACCCACTGCTCCCCACACAGTATATTTCAGTTGATCCACCTGTTCTGTTCCCCACTCTGTCTCTAGTAAATCCTCTCACCCTCTGGCCCCCACACCTCTGGCCTATACCCCAGTTCTCATATACATAAATAAATCTTTTTTAAAAATGAGAGAGGGAACTGGGCCCAGTTTAAGGGGAGAGGACTGAAAAGTCCTAACTACCTAAAAGATGTAAAGAAAACCACAAAGATATGGGCAACAGGGCTTTAATCTTCCCCGAAGTCAAGGTGCCCTATGGTGCTAAGAGGAAGCCATTTGTGCCACTGGGCCTGTAAAAGCCTTAGTGAAGCATCTGTACCGGATAGGGTGGGACAGCCAGCAATGAAGGGCTATGCTCAGAGCAAAACTGCCTGGACCAAAACCTGACTCCATCACTCACTCACCAGCTCTAGGACCTGGGACAAGAGACACCTTTTAGAGTGCTGCCATTTTATTTGTAAGACAGGGTCGTGCAACGTTGACTCACTGGGTTTCCGAGAGTATCGCGTTCCTGACACAGGGTGAATCGTTATGGTGTTTTCAGCAGATTACATGCCATCTTTACACCAACCCTGGAAAAGCAGTATTCATCATCCCTATTTTATCAGAGGAAATGAATGCCCACAGATGCCAAGGTACTTGCCCAAAGTCACTCAGTAGGATGCTTCTCATTTCAAAGCTCACACCAAACCAACAGTTGTCCCTCCCCATGTTGAAATCTACAAGATGTCCACAAATAGGGCCCATATTCTCCTCCCAAATCAACGAGCTCAAAGTCACAACGTGAGCTAGCATCTAACTACTGCACAGAAGCCTCAGGGAACAGTGCCTAAATTTCTTAAAACCTAAAAACATAACCTGACTCTTCCCCCATCACAGTATACAATTTTGAAGCTTTGCCTCAGGTTCCTCTGGATAATGAATGTTGTGGAATTGTATAATGGGATAAAGCCTGAAAAAAGGTGTCCCTAGGGAACGTGCAAAGGCAGTGATTTCCTCTGGCCTACACTCAATGTGGGTTCAATCTCCTGAGTGCACAGCCTAAAGGAAACAGAAAAATAGATCACTGCAGCAGGCACTGAAAACAAGCTCCAGGGGTGTATGTGTCTGTGTGTGTGTGTTGTGTGCCTGTGTGTATGTGGGTACAGCACCCCAGTCCTCTTTCTCTCCCAGGTTGACCTCCTTGTTCATTTTCATCTGCTTCCCTCAGGACTCGCCCAAGCCCATACCCCCTACAATGACCTTGCTCAGAAGGGCTCAGGTGGTGTCAAAAGTCTAGAGTGACTTGGATACCATAGGCCACTCCACACTACAGTGCCTGAAATGCTGACATCCTTCAGTACTCCCTATCAGGAAGCAGAGCCAAGTACTGTTTGTGTTGGGGTTTGAGTGCAAACCCCACTTTTGAGCAAACACATTAGCAATGTTAGCTTAATAAAATGGCATGTGAATTTCTTTCTGCTCTTTTCTCCCCAGCAAACACAACAGTATGCCCAAGCTACCTTTCCTTAAGACTCACGGCCTGCCTCTGGCTGAAGATTTACTAGCTTGCATTTACGGGCTGCTTGCAGTGCGGCAAGCCCTTTGCACCTGCTTGAATCTCTGTCTCTCTTGCTTTGGCCTTAGAGCTTTAAACTTTTGTCCTCTCGTGCACACACCAAGTCCTGTAGGGACTTTAAATTTGGGAGGGCATTGAGAGAAGATCCTGTTTTGTTTTATAGAAAGGAAGTCCAGGCCCTATGAGGTCACAGAGTCTTATGTGGTCACAGGAGGTCACGGAGCCATTTTCTCTCTTATGAAAAGAATGTACCCACTTGTCTTGGCATCACAAGAGGATGGCGTGACAAGACACTGGTACCTGAGAGGGATCATTAGGCTGGAAAGGCAGTCTGTCCTTTAGATACAATGAAAATAGGAGCTGGCCCAAGACACAGGTAATGAGACTGGACTGACAGCAAAGGCTTCTCACATGTTCCCCCAATACCCACCTGTGCTACTGAAAAGATGGTCAAATCTGCCACCTGAGGAGCAGAGGTAGGCTGATACAACAGCTCCCACTCCGAAGGCAGGGCAGCTGCAGCTAAAATTGCACAAGCAGCTCCCTGTGAAGAGTAAATGTCATTTTTACAGTCCCCTGTCAAGTGGGCCTCAGTGTGAGTAGATGAGGTAGGAAAGAAGGAGTCCTCTCAGCTCTGAATTACCGACCCTACTGGCCTGTGGGAGGGGCCTGCAACCTTTCCATTATGAATGGCTGTGGATGTCCCAAGGAGAACTGGAAATTATTGCCTATAATTAATTAGATCTAATGAAATATAAACAGTGCCTTCATATGCACATGAGGAAAATAAAGACACAGTAAGCACCTCCACAAAGGGCAGCCAACCTAATCTAGGATTTCCCAACATGGGAACCCTGAATTATACAAGGTCCTTGAAAACACTTTGTGTATAGTTCTGAGACCAGGTAATTTGGGAAAGACTAGATTCTCTGTTCTGCTATGTCTAGCCACTCACTCTCTGCTTAACAAATATTTACTGGTCTCAATGCAGAACATTTAGGGATCTCACCTGGCAAAGCTGAAACTCACCTTTGGGTATTCAGACTTCAGAAACAAAAGATACACAGCTACCTGGAGCAAAAGGACTAGTCCTTAAGGTTAACAATTCATGATGCTTTGTTAAAACAGTAGTATTCCGGAGAGACAGCTGACTGGGTGAGTCAATAACCTTTAGTGTGCTTTATTTATCTAAGATTTTTCTACATGAGAACACTTATAATCGAAAGACCAAACAGGTAAACCTGAGCCTAGGGCTACTGTCTGCAGAAAGAGATTCTACATAAGGAGGCTGGAAATGACATGAGACCCTACCTCCCTGAGGAAAGAATCAGAAAGAGGGAGAAAGGGGGAAAAGAAAAGTGGAAAGTTACCAGTCTTGGCAGATGACCCGCAATTATCTCTCACCAAAAGGAACCAGACGGCAGAGACTTAGTAAAGCGTCCACCAGACCCTACCATCAGACTGTGCCCTCGCCCTGATCTCAGAGGAAACAATCACTCTGGAAATCAGTTCTCCACAGACTTGATATACCAAAGGCTTCTCCCAAGCAATCATGTAAGATCTAGCAAGGAACTTTTTTTTTTTTAATTATAAGGAAAGGTTAACTCCGCATCAATAAAATCCTGCTTCAATTAGTAGAGCCATTGCTTGCATCATTATTCTAAGTGTTTGAAATTTCCACTTCTAGCAGGTCACTTTCAATTTGGTAAACACTCCTAAGTCATATTAATTCACAGCCAGTCACCCTAGGAATGCTGAGTAAGTAAACAATCAAGCATTAGCTAACCAGCCACAAATCCACTTGAGTTTATTAATTTTTCTTTTGGCAGAGATGCAAGAAAAGGGAACAAACCATCAGAGACATTCACGCATCATTCATTCAATAAATATTTATTATATACTAGGTGCCGGGCACTATGCTAAGCTAAAGATAGATGCTAATATTTTATATTCACAGCTAAGTGATATATGAGTGTTTTAAAGAATGAAATCCAAATTTCCAAAAAAAATATAAATTTCAGTTCTTGAGATGCTTTTGCTTTGTTTCTGCCTGGATTTTCCTGTATAGAATGGATGTATACAATGCTACACCCTATATAGAATGCTATACCCCAAATCCAAACACCTCAACTCCAGACTCTCCATTCCTCCCTCCAAAATCACCCCCGATTATCCCTTAAGTAATTAACAAATACAAACTCACACTGGAATCATTAAGAGGTACTCGCTGTTTTAAAAGTCCTGAGAGAACACAAGTGGGAAGAAATTTATATCCTCATACTCAGCTATTACACATTTGGGCTTTGTTGTAGGGGGAGTAGCTTATTTCATTCAAAAACTCTTCAAATACTAGCACAAATAACATACTCCAAATGCTGATAGGGTTGTATGCAAAGTAGGAATACAATCTTAACAGTGCCAACTTATCAGAGGAATTCCTCTTGCCCCATTTCCAAGCCCCCCTCCTTTTCTCATATTTTCCAGAGGATAACAACCAAAAAAAAAAAAAATGGCACCATTTCAAATACAACACCCAAGGGCCCAAGGGAAAGACCCACTTTGAGAGGTGACCTCCAACAAACCACCTGACTCATCACTAGAGAGAGGCACAGTGGAGATTTCTACACTCCTCCCTGCCCTATGCATTAGGGAAGTCCATCTAACCTAATCCTCTTCTCACCCCCATGGGAGCCACACAGACACACACACACACACACACACACACCAAACTATGCAGACCCCACACACTGTAAGCTGCTGCTTCCCACCCCCGCCCTTCTGAGTTGGCCAGCTTAACCCAGTACACAAAATACCCCCACACCACCCAGCAGAGGTGAGGACTCTTCCTCTGCCAGGCAAGCTCCTGATGGCTGCTGACATCACAAAGGTGTCAACTGGCAACTTCATTGTCATGTGGTTCTCCCCTGGCTCCCCTTCACTTGCAAACACAGGGAGAGGGTGAGACCTTTCAAAGTCGCCAGGCCGGCAAGCTTCCAGCAGCTGTCCGGGAGCCAGCGAAGGGCAGAGTCACCCAGCCCGGCAGGCGGCACTGGGCCTCACGTCTCAACTTCAGTTCAGTTCTCCTGTAATGGAAAATTGCTTTGCAGAAAGCTAGAGTGTTAGAGTTCTTTCCAGCGCCTCTCCCCTGCCCCACCCGCCCCCGGAAGCCTCATCAGAGGCACAGCGCCTGCCTGCAGGAAAGTAGAAGGAGGGGAGTTGCTGCTTCTGACTATGTCCCCTGCTTCAGGCCTGGGGCCCAGGTGGTTACTCTTTTCCTTTGGAATGGGACTGGTATCGGGGACAAAGTGCCCAACTAACTGTCAGTGTCAAGCCCAAGAAGTGGTCTGCACAGGACTACAATTAACTGCGTACCCCTCTGACATTCCCTTGGGTACCCGGAGGCTGTACCTAAATATTAACAGCATCACCTTCTTGCCAGCGATGAATCTAGGACTCCTCAGTGACCTTGTTTACTTGGACTGTTCATTTAACCGGATTCAGGAAGTGATGGATTATACCTTCATCGGGGTCTTCAAGCTCATCTACCTTGATCTCAGCTCCAACGATATAAACTCGATCTCCCCGTTCAGTTTCTCCATGCTCAACAACCTGGTGCAGCTAAACATCTCCAACAACCCTCACCTGTTATCTCTTAACAAGTATACCTTTGCCAACACCAGCTCTTTGAGGTACCTGGACCTCAGAAATACCGGCTTGCAGACCTTGGAGCACACAGCCTTCACCAACCTCATAACACTACAGACCCTGTATCTGAGTGAGAATCCCTGGAAATGCAACTGCTCTTTTGTGGACTTCACCATCTACTTAATAGTGTCCCATCTGAACCACCCAGGTGAGGGCTTGTGCGGGTGAGGGGATGAGCATGCAATGGCATTGGAGGAATTGATTCCAGAGCAGGTGAATGGCATTGGAGGAATTGATTCCAGAGCAGGTGAAGCCAAAAGATGGTCAGGAGGGGAGAAATGCCTGGGTTAAGCTGATTGAAGGCATTTTTATTGCTGGGTGAGATCCACCCGTGGGCTGACTGGAGACACGTTAAGGCTCATAGAAAAAGTTCTGGAATAGGAATCCACAGAGCTGAGTTCTAGTCCCCACTCAGCCCTGACCAGTGCACTGCCCTTGGGAAAGTCACAGTTTCTCTGAGCCTCAGCTTCCTCATCCATAAAGTGGGGGTAAATTACCTAACCTAGTTGTCATGTCAACATAAAATGATTTGTATGGAAACAGTAAAGTTCTATCATCGTGACCAAGTAATACAGGAGATCTGTTTCATTTGGTGACCAAATTTTTCCCAGAGCTAATAGTAAACACCATCATTCACAGGCATCATTCTCCTTTGGGAGATTGATGTATGGAAGGGAAGGCTCTCGAGAGATGGAGGGAAGGGTGTGTGGGCAAGGAGAGAGGGAGCAGAAAGAAGATTTTTGATCAAAGCTGTGTATGAGATGGTAACCTCATAGTGGCAAAAAGAGAGAGTGATCAGTAGAAAGTACTCGGTCAAAGTACCCATTGTGCCAGCAGGGAGACTCCAGTTTTATAGGCAAATTTTCAAGTGTCCCTCATCGATTCCTAAGCCAGCAGCACACCCTACATACCCTGTGCCCACCCTCAGCATGGCCACCGGTTGCCCAGGTTGCACGTCCCCTTTCTCTTCAGCAACCTCAGAAGCCCATCCTCATCCTCCACTTCTGCACCACCCATGTCACTTTCCCCAGGAGAGTCAGAACTTTAAGAAGTGTGACATAGGGGCCTCCCTGATGGCCCTAAGGATCAATGCAATCACCACTACATGGCACAGCAAACCGCTCCTATCTCACCTGTTGCTCCCCTCAACAGTGTATTTCAGTGGATCTGCCTGTTCTGCTCCCCAATTTGTCTCTGGTGAACCCTCTCAACCCTGCACCTCTGGCCTATACCCCAGTTCTACACAGACACACACAAAAAGAAAGAAATGTGGCATAACTCCCAGTAGAAAGCCTGGGTCACTGATAATAGTCTGGCAGAATTGGATCTTGGGTAGAAAACCAAACCCTGTCGGCGTCATGTCTTCTCTCCCACCCCTGAGTGCTTGTTTCTGAGGATGTTTCCATGGCACACATCACAAGCGTCCTGTGAACCTCTGCTGTGATGACCTGCTCCCAGTCCACAGGATAATACCTGGGGAGACTCGTGGCTACAGTTATAGGCTTTAATTAAGGGTAGCTGGGCAAAGGGAGCTGCGTTGTGATGGCAAGTAAAGACGTGCCCTCCTGGCTTTGCAATCGCTCATCTTTTTTCAAGCATATGCCAGTTAATCTTATTCCTTTATTTAATCAGGAAATCTGCATTTTTCATTTCCAAAAAAAATATATCCTTCTTTATTGATTGAGGTGACATTGATTTACCACACTGTTAGGGGACTAGGTTCACACCTCCTCAGATGTATAGCACCACAGATTTCCCCCACCATCAAAGCACCCACAGTCCCTTTACTAGGCCATGGTTCCCCTGCCCACATTGTTGCCATCCCTACCCTCCATCCCCTTCCAGCAACAATGGGTCTTCCTTAAAGTGGCTTCCAGACAGGACCTGAACTTTACTGAAGCAAGTGAGGCTCCTAGAAGGCAGAACTGAGACGGAGGCACTGTGAGTGAGCCTTCCTTAAATCTGTGCCCTGAGTACCTGGTTCTGCTGCCATGTGCTTCACTTTGAGTTTGAATAAGTCAAAAGGAACCAACTTTATCACACCATTCTTAGCACTACTAATCATAAAAGAACACAGGAGCAGTCACCTCAGATAACTGCCTTACCTGTCAGCGATAGTATCTTCTACTTTTCTCAACAGTTCTTACTGTGGTGGCTTCTAGAAAGATAGCTTAAGGTGGGTCAATATTAACCACACTCTATTAAATTTGGTTTCTAAATGGACTCTCTGTGGTCAGTCAGGTAAATAGATGTGGAAGAGCATCATCAACTTCTCTTGCCCTCTCCCCACCTTACGTGCAAGTTTTCCTTCAGCAGAGTTCCCTATGTTGCCAGGAGAACTTCCTCTCTTGGCTCTAAAGGGGAGAGTTCTTTGACTTCTTTCCCTTAGCCCAACCCTTTACCTACCATCAAATCTCCCTTAATCAAATGTCTGTTTAGAGCCTGGATTTTCTCAGAACTTTCAAGCTGCCTACTTTGGACCCCTACCCAATTCAATCCAGGATGGAATAGAGTATATACCAGGTATTTCACTGCAAGTTTTCCAAGATGGGAGTATCTGTCTTGTCAAGCTCTTCAGTTCCTCATGAATTAAGAATCTGTCTTTTGAGGAAGACAAAGCTTTCAACCATTAGCCAGTGAGTCATACCCCCATCCACCCACAACTTATAATCTGCTCACCACCCTCTGTTTAGTGGCCCAGAGGAACCTCTCAGGACACTTCATGCAGGAAATCACATTGGGAAGGGGGTGTGTTGCTGTGTGCCAGTTGGCAGTATGCTCTGGTAAGACCCAATCAATACAGAGTTCAGAGAGATCCACAGATCCCATTTCTTCTTTGGTCCAGGTCAGCAAATAAGAGGACTATTACCTGGCTGGGGTAGTAATTTTCCAGTCACTAAAGCTGTTTGAAGGTGAGTGTGGCAATGAGCTGCTCCCAGGATGGAGGTTCCTAGTGAGACAGGATGTCAGGCCTCTCAGGATGCTCTTGAAACTCAAGAAACTCTAAACCCCTGGACACACACAAGTAACTGGGTCTCCTTCTCCCCTTCTCCTCACCTGCATTCTGGTCCAGCACTGTCTGACAAGTGATGCAAGTGGTCTCTGTCTCTATTGTCCAATATAGTAGCCACATGTGACTATTGAGCTCTTGGAATTTGGCTAGTGTATATCATTTTCTTTTATTTCAACTCATCTCAATAGCCACATGAATGGCAGATGGCTATTGGTCAAAGCGGTGGTCATATTGGTCAGAGAAACCTGAATATAGGATGCTTAAACTGGAACTTTCAAATACAGACTATATTAGTCTGTATATAGTCATTTACACAAGTAAATGACTATAGGGTCAAGTCCAGCCTGGAGCTCTCCAGACATCCGAGTCCAATTATTCCCTCACTATTATTATATTTTCCCACCATCAAGTACACCACCACCCATTCAACTCCAAAACATCTATTATATGTTCAATAAGTGCCCAACACTGTATTATGAAGCTGGGGATAATATCAGGGAGAAAGAGTTATAATTCCTGTGTCCAAGAAAGAAGTTATAATTCCTCTTTTTAAAAAGACAATCATGGGATACAGGAGAGAGAAAATAGAGATAAAAACCAGAAAGCCTGGCCCAGCAATGTCAAGGCAAGTCATTCCCCTCTGAGACCCACTTATCTTTTAAATAGGGAGCATGATTAAGTCTCCTCTAAGGCCCTTTGCAGCTGGTAGTCCACAAATCTAAGCCGAAAGACAAGACAGTGAAAATGAAGCAAGCAGAGGTCAGTAGCAGAGGAGCCTAGACACACACGTGTGTGGCGGGTGAGTGGGAGGCAGGCTCTACCTTCTATGCTCTCCCAACTCCCATCTCAAGCACCTTCTATTCAGAACAATACCTCCACCCCCCCACACACACCCACCCCAAGGAGCTCAAACCTTAGCCTTTCCTCCCAGGCCTGCATAGCCAGTGATTCCCAAATTCTAATGAACTCAACTCCCCCTACCCCATGTCCAGAGATTCTGATCCCGTGAACCATTGACACAGGTGTTCCTTGGGCCATAAATGAAGGAGCCCTGTGACAAAGGTGTCCATTGACTGCCCCAACTGGTGATTTTCTCTGAAAGGTTAGTGGCTAACAATGTTTTGATACATCTCCCTCAAGGGACACTTAGAATTTTACAGGGAATAACCAGAAACAATGAGAATTTGGAAAGTGGCAGGGTACTGGGGATAGAAGAAGGGGGTAGTTTCAGGAGAGAGGGTCCTTCTGTGTCAGTCTCAAGTAGTCCTGCTTGACTTCGATGATGGGACCTACAAATTCAAGATGAATATCGGCAAGAGCACAACAGAAGTAGGGACAAAGCCAGTTACAACATCTGCAGGAAGCAGATGGGTTAGGTCAGGTGCTGTTTCAGGTCCAAGTCATTTTAAGGGCATTTTGAGCAAAGAACATCTTAGTTTCATTCTGCGGCTATTTCATCCTGTATTTAGCCAATGTAATAGGATAATGGCCCCAATTCAACCCACCAAGTACAAAGTCATCCATGACTGTGCCAAAACTTAGATATCCAGAATGTATTCAGGTCCTTACATTCTTCCACTATTAATACTAACCCATCTCCTCCATCAGAGAAATTGTCATAAAGACCAAAGGCCAAAAAGGAAATGACTAGGCAACAGAAAATTCCAAGTGTGTCAACCTCTGCCAACCCATCTCCCGCCTTATAACAGACAACCAGCCTGTGCTTCCTCCTGCAAAGGCCCAGAGAAGCGCCCTCATGGGGGCAATGAAGAGATGGAAGGGGAGGAGGGGCCCTGGGTTGGTGATTCTAAACCATGTAAAAAATCTGAGGAGGTGGAAGGTTGGCAAGTATGAGCGGTTCATGAAGGAACCCAGGTGTTTCTCACAAGCTCTCTAATTTAACTGGGATCCCTGAGAGCAGGTGACCTAAAGCCCTTGGATCAGAAACATTAGGCCTCTGTGCATGGCCCTTTGCATCACTGAACACGACTTGAGTCTCTGGAAGACAGCAGAGCAAGACTAATCAAAGCAGTCACTCTTGGTGTATCACCTCTAGAGGTGAAGAAAACTCTAACCTGGAGATGGCCCAGATGAGCATGAATGAAGCAGATAAAAAAGAGGGTTCAGACATAAAT